TTTGTTACAAAGAATTCTATTCAGTCCTGGGAGACTTCCCTTACGAGGCAGGGGTCGACTTAATGCTCAATAGCCCTGTGGAAACAAAAGACAGATTATTAGGTTAGAGGAAGAGCGGGGGGGGAGCGTGGCGTTCCGTTCTGGCTGGCCCCACATCTGGTCACCATGTGTGCTGATGGCTAATGAAGGCCCTTCCTCACTGGGCTGCAATTAGTTCCGACAGCTCCTGGACCCCCGGCTCGAGGCTTCCCCCCGCGCCCCGTGCGCTGCGGCCTGGCTGGGCCCCTGGTCGCTGCCGCTGTGGCCTTCCCCGGCATCCTCTGCCACCCCACTGCCGAACCAAAAATACAAAACGACTGGCCGGCCCTCCGCCAGTGATTTTTCCGCCCGCCGCCTTCTGATGAGTGTCCTCTGGGGCGTGAGTTTTGGAGGAAGCGGTTCTGTGAGAGGCTGAGCCGCGGTTTCAGCAAACCACACGCTCGGGATGTTGTCGGCCATGGGGGTGCCGAAAGTTAGCTTGAGCAGGCTCCCTTCCCCAGAAGCCCCTGGGACTCTGTCTAACCGCTGGTCTTTACCGACGTCAACATGAATGACTGCTGCTTCATGGGATACATGCCACCTCACACACAATGCCTGATGGGAAACCGTAGCCCATATTTAGGGGCTACTGTCACTCCATCTGACTGCTTGCTTTGGATTTTAACCGCCCCCCCCCAATTGTCCAGGTGGGCAGAGTGATGCATGCTGGGAACTGAAGTCCATTTAAAATCATAGAGGACTACGTTCTAGGCCCACTGCTGCCCACGTCTCTCCAGCGATGCATATGGGGAATAAGAGTAACACTCTATGTGAGAAACACCATTCAAGGACATGAGCAGGGGATGGAGGAGGCGGAAGAAAGTGGACTAAAAACACTCAATCTATTGTCCCTCCTCTCTCGACGACTGCTGAGAGGATGAGAGCAAGAGGAAATCAATACTGGGGAACTTGAGTGTTCAGTCTCCCCTCTGCTGCAGTCAGACAGAACATCCTCACAGCTGGGGTACTGGAACTCCCTCTGATATGAATAATTGGTTCTTTAACAGTGCTCGAGTGTTGTTGCGCTGGCCCCCCCAAATCCCCTACACGCCCCCGCTACCTAATTCCCCCCGCTAGCTCCCTCTCAACTCCCCTGTCGAACAGGAAGAGAGAGATTTATGTGGCCTGCGCCTCCTTGCGCTCGCATGCTATCCCGACTGCGGGCGATACATCGGTCGTACCCGGTTGGCCTGGTGATGGCTGGGACGCCATTTGCGAGACC